TTTTTTTGACAGAACACTGGCACTCTGCAAATACTGCCAACGCAAACCCTGTGAGCAAGCCAGCTGACATCAGCTGACCAAGGACATGGTGGGACTTTGGACATTTTATCCATTCCTCCTCACACAGGCGGCCTTTTGTCTGGGGTGTTAGACCAAAACAAGCCTGTGAGTCAAAGCTGATGCCTGCCTATGGAAGGCATGCTTAAATCGATGCAATCTAAGATACAAAGCACCAAAAGTTGCATGAACTGAGCTCAAGATCAAACCAGGTTTGCAATATCTCTCTCAAGTAAAATGGGGTTTTTACTATACTGGATAGGTTGTGGGATAATTGCATAAGGGAACATTATCCCCCTTGCTGCCTGGGGCTTCGCCACCAGCATTTGTGAGAGGAACCCAACAGGACGCATGAGCTGTAAGACATCTCCATTGGAGGTGGCCTAGACTGGTGATGAGGAAAAGCAGGCTCATGTCCTCATCTAGATTAAATGAATTGGATCATTTATGTATAGCTCAAGCAGATGATTGTTTGCACCACAAAACTTGCTCCTGAAACTGGCTCTTTAGCTGGCAGACAGAGTAAACCTTAGGGACCGAGGTTGTGGCTGCAGTGTCTTTGGTATGAGATCTGTGCGCTATCAGGTCAGAATAAACACAATTCGGCTCAGACACAGGACGCAAAGTTGTATTTCCCAGAGTTGTGTTAGCCAGAGTTCACAATACGGATGTAAAGTCCGTTTTATGATTTTATGCTCGCTGGGTGCAGGGTGCATGGAAATGCATATGTAAGGACAGGTAAGTCAGGCCATACTCGATCGAGCGCAAGGCCTTTTGGCACAAAAATTAACATGGACAAATTTTTGGAACAAATCAGAAGCAGCAGAAAGGATATAGTGCAGATCAGAGGGCTGGAGCACCTCTCCTATGAGGACAGGCTGAGAGAGTTGGGGTTGTTCAGCCTGGAGAAGAGAAGGCTCCGGGGAGATCTAATTGCGGCCTCCCCGCCCCCCCAGAAGGGGCCTACAGGAAAGATGGGGAGGGACTGTTTATCAGGGAGTATAGTGACAGGACAAGGGGTAATGGGTTTAAGCTGAAGGAGGGTCAATTTAGATTAGATATTAGGAAGAAATTCTTTACTGTGAGGGTGGTGAGGCACTGGAACAGGTTGCCCAGAGAGGTTGTGGATGCCCCATCCCTGGAAGTGTTCAAGGCCAGGTTGGATGGCGCTTTGTACAACGTGGTCTAGTGGAGGGTGACCCTGCCTGCAGCAGGGGGGTTGGAACTAGATGATCTTTAAGGTCCCATCCAACCCAAACCATTCCATGATTCTATGATTCTATGATCAACGCTCCGCATTGAGCAGCTCTGCTGTTTTCAGTAAAGGCAACGTCAAAATGCAGGGCTGCCTCTCTGGTGGGGGGCGCCGAGCCTTGCGCTGTGCTGCACCCCCAGCCGTGCTTTCACCTCCAGGGCAGGCTAAGCCACGAGTCCAGCTTGCTGCCGGTGGGCTTGGTGGGCCTGTTTGACACAGGGCCGGTCCCTACAGAGGAACAGGGGTCCCACCACCAGCACGGGCTGTGCCAGTCAGGAAGGAAGCCAAAGACACCTGGTAAATCCCGGTTAAAGGTGCATAGCCTGGGTTTGAAGTACTGATGGGAATATTAAGTTTGAAGCACCGGCCTGGTGGCTGTTGGGGTGTGTTGGTGAGGCAGCACGAGAGGGGCATGCCTTCATACATGTCCTGCAGTTTGCTTCCACTTTTGAAACCTCTGACCCAGCACTTCACACGACCAGGCTATTCTGTGGGTTTTTTTGTTAGTCATGTAAATCTCAGTGTGCGTAAGGCTGAAAAAGAGTAAGAAACAGAACGTCTACTTGAATTCTTCTTTCACTTGACAAGTTTATACCTGCATCTTAACCACTATTATTTGTATTTCCACATTCCTAGACTCAAAAGACCCTGACTTTGGGGAAAACCAGACCAAAATCAACATAGAGATGTGTTCCCATCTTTACACGATAAGCCTGTTGCACAAATCAGAGCTTTCCTTGGAGCACACAAAAATTGTTGCCTTTCACATCATTCAAGCAAAGGCTGTTCTAATATGGGCCCAACTGTAATACAAAATAATTATGTCCATGGAAATTCAAATCTTGCAAAATTAAATATTTGAGTCCTCACTGACACAAATGCAAATGCATTTGAAACAGTCTTGTTTCCCAGGATAATAGCTACATAATTAGGCTAAGCCTTTCACACTTTCTCTTTTAGCCCATTCCATTTATTTACCAAAAATCATTGCATAGGTATGCCCAGCAAATGTCTTAGAGAACTGTTTGTAATTAAATTAAAAGCTTAAATATAGAGATTGTCTCTTCACTAAGTACTAGCTTTTATTAAAACTGCAAGCTACTTGAACTACATCCCTTGCAGCCCCTTTAAATCTTCTGTTTGACATTTTGAATGTGCCATGCAGGTTCTAATACACATTACACAAAAAGAGGTATTATAAAATTCCTGACTTTTTCTTGTTTGCATGACAAAGGAGGAATGGCAAATCCTCCAATTGGACCCGATAATCACTGTCCTGTGAAAAGCCTACAATCCACATCCTCTGTTTTCCTCTTAGCCAAGCTTCAACTGTGTTTGGTCAATAATTTTATTTTATGTGCGAAGCCCATAAATCACCTTCCAATACACATTGGACAGTGAAGTGTCCTGGTAGATTAGACATCAGCCGCAGAAGTCGCATCCGGATCCAGGAAAGCCAGGTGCTGCTGGAGCAATTGTGCATTTTCATTTCATGTAATCATATTTTTTTTTGAAGAGCCCTCACTACATAGAAGGACCACTCTCCAAAACAAAGACAAATTGGAGGGATAAGGTTTACAGGATCAGATCTTCTGACATGTTTAAAGAGAGACCACTACAAATGCGTGAACCGCAGTTTTATCCAGGTGGCTATAAAACTACATAAACATAACAAATTCACTGCCGGAACCAAGTTAGCCAAGATTTATAGAGCATGTATGAAGGAAACTTGGTCTGAACATTGCTTAGGTGCAGTTTGTGACCGAAGCCTCCACAGTTCGTCGTGTGACTGCATTTGTCCCATCCCGTGTGAATCGGTAACGTGTCGTTTAGCTGGGGAGGCAGCCCGGTGGGAACAGCCGGGTGTACAGAGCCTTCTGAAGGGGCTGAGAGAATCACAAAGATTTCAGAAGAAAACCCTCTTCTTTCCTCTTATTGGCAAGAGCAGGGGTTTTTTGACATGAGTTGAATTTGAGGCGGTCAAATGAAGTGGTTATTTTTCACTGCTATTTGTGTCTTGGGAATTAATATAACAGAAGATACTGATTTGTTCAGGGAAAGATGCTACACAAAGGGAAAGATTAAAGAATGTAGTGCCCTGGGCCATGCACAAACTGTTAGTTTGTAGTCTGTTTCCATTTTACCTGAAAACTCAATTCAGCTAAATAAGGTGCGCCTTTAGCACCTAATGGAGGCTTTATCATGTTTAAGGAGACAAGTTTCTTAAGAGGTTATAAAGACAAAATGAGCGCTAACAGAAGTGGTTTAGTTAGGCTCTTTCAGATGGCTTTGTTGCCTTCCTCTGCGTACAAGACAGGCTGCCTCGGCTGACGCTTGTTTTAATGAAGGATGAACCACAACGGGATGCTTTTGTACAAGGTCATTCCATCGGGTCCTCCAGCCAGACTTTTTTCAGGCCTCACCATTCAGCCTGGACATTGGATGAAACTGGACCAGTTTTGACTCATTCACAGAGACATATAAAATCCAAAGCTCTTTTGATGCTGAAGATATTTGTGTATATATGTATATGCTCAGGCCCTTCTGTACTTGTTAGTGCCAGAGAGGGTGAGAATCTCCCCCAAGTGCCATGCCCCTTCGCACTTTTTATTGATCACATTTTATTTTTTCAGTTCACATCTCCTGGGATTTGTTTCAAAAATAGACTTCCGCATCTTATGCCAGCAGAGGCCAGGGAAGCAAAGGATGTGAGCTTCAAGTTTAAAGGCTGACTTCAAGGCAAACAACCACACACACCCCCAGCCTCCAGGTTGGCTTCGCTCTCCAGAGACAGCTCTCTATTGTGATTGTTAATAGCGTTCAAACTACCAATATTCTTCATCCACATTGTGGAAGAGTGGTTTCTCATGTTCGTGAAAGGTGATCTGCCTTTATATAAAGCCGCCTTCTTTTAAGCACAAGTGTTATTAAACCCACAGGAATCCATAGAGAGTGATGGGACATTTTTCTAAAATGTCAGGCCTGTGCATCTTCCACCTTCCGTGATTCAGAAGCAGCATAAAAGGCCATAAACCATTCAACTGCTGTGATTCACCGGTGATTCATACGCTTGATACAAATATTCAGAGATCAAAGCAGTACCTGCCCCCCCCCCAAAAAAAAAAAAAAAGATTTAAAATGATTTTTTGATGCCTGCCATAAAGGTGGAGTCCAGCTAAAGCATTATTCTCCTGATTGATATTGGCAGTTTTAGGTAGGAAGTCCCCTGCGGTAAAGATTGGCGCTTCCTTTAAGAATCGTATGGTACGGTACATAAAGCAATGTACTCTGCAGATGTGTTTCCTCCCTGACCTGGGCTGAACATGAGACACTGATCACTCGGGGGTTTTCTGGGCAAAAGTTTACAGGGAATTAAAAAAGAATGGAAACTTCTTCCCCACGAAGCAATCTGGAAGCTCCCCTAAACCTTGTATTAACTTTGCAGTAGATGAAGGTGTTAAACTGGCATGTGTCTACCGACAGGGGAGTGATCCTTTTAAGTCCTCTGCTTCGTCCCCACTTGTGGAATTTGTTGTGCCAGTGGGACGAGGCTGGCTATAAATCCCTGGCGCAGGGGACCTCCATCCCACTCAGGCAGCTTGCCACCACATCTCTGCCGAGAGGAGCCCCGGGGAGATCCCCCCCTTCATCTCTGCCGGGCAGGCGGCCGCTTCGCTGACGGATGATGATGGACGCAAGGTTCGCCCGGATGCTCTGTGCGCTCTGCCTGGTTGTTACGGTCGGAGCGTTTACCCAGGAAGGGTTCAAGGAGGTGTTGCTGAAGCAGCTGGGGCTCTCTGAGGTCCCTAAACTTCATAAGAGAGACTTGGTGGATCTGGTTATCCCAGACCACGTAAAGAACAAATACATCTCCATGCTGAAGCGCCACAGGGTGAAGCGCCGAGCTTTGCCGAGCCTGGCCGGCATCCTCAGGGGGATCCCTGGCAACGCAGGTAACCTTTCTGCCGTCGCTGTCGGGAACTCACAAAGCACTGCGCCGCTGCCAAGTGAAGCTGCCCACGCTCGCCTGGCCGGCCACGGGATGGGCAGGGGCAAACCCCACAGGGGGAATGAGGTTTGGATCTGGCTCCAAAGAGGTGCGTGTAACAGCATCTTAAAGATTAACATGCGCTAGTAACTGTTTGCACCTAGAGAGGGGGTCCTACACTCCTTGCAAAGGGCAGGCTGCTGCTGGAGTTTGCTAGAAGAGAACAGCCTTGGTACCCAGGCAATATTTTGGGCAGGTGAAAAAATGATGTAAAAAAAAATAAATGTCAGTAGAAAGTGTAGACACTGCAGTGTTTTGGTCAAAACTCCCGTATGTCCTCTAATAGCAATTACACCTCTTTGAGGATGTTTCACTCTCACCTTTTTTTTTTTCCTTTTTTTTTTTTCTTTTTTTTTTTTTTGTCTGGGAAAAATATCAAGGAGAGAATCAGTGGAACAGACACAATGGTGTCGGTACAAGGACACTTAAAGCTTGTTTCACTTTCAAAAGACATACGTAACACCCTGGGCAGCGAATGAAAACTTCTTATTGTAAGCCGTGCAGTTTCCTGCTTTGGTGCCCAGCACTGGCACAGAGAGATGGGCACCTTTCTGTGTTTGCTCAGTTTGGGGGCAAGTTATAGAGGAGATTTCTTTCTGTTGCCTCCAGGTTGCAGAGATTCAGATATAGAAGAAGGATTAGGGCATTTGAAAGACATTGATTCAAGTATGCATTAGAAAAGGTGTGTTTAGGGGCTGTCCCTGCCACAAGGGCTCATCTTGGGAGCGTGGAAGGAGTGTGTTGTGATGATAATTGTGGTGCAACTGTAAGGGCTTTGCTCACCAGGATGGTAACTACAAGCTGTCTTTTTTGTTCCCAACATCCACAGGCATGGCAGGAGAAGTCTTCTACTCTGACACCACCACGCGCCAGAACCTGATCTTTGACATGGAGGGCAGAATACCTAAAAACAGCGAGGTGACAATGGCTGAACTGAAACTCTTCAAAAAGCCTCTGGACAGAACACACCTGCCTGCCAAGCAGTCTCACAGGCCTGTTTCCAACGCCAGAGTCAGTGTGTACTGGGTACAACGGCAGCAGGATGGTACCAACAGGACCTCCCTGATAGACTCCCGGTAAGAACAGGACCTCTTCTGAAGGCAGGACTCTGGTTATGGGCTATGGGTCCTCTGGGCTGGGTTCAGGTGTCATGTGTTTGTGCCTCCGGGCAGTCTGATGGGGTTACATCTGTAGCGTCAGGCTCTATAGCCTCTAAACCCAGAATGAGTTTGTAAGAGCAGGTATTGGGTTAAGACTGCAAAATACGGTGATTCATTGAAATAATCTATTTGTGTGTCATACGATGCCATGTACTGCTTGGTCTTCTCCTCTACAAACCTCCACCTGGCTCACTTCTCTCCCACTCTCTAACTCACATGGCTGCTGGTATTCTTTCCATCGGCCATTTCATTAGCTGGTTTAAATAAGTAAATTATGCAAAAAGCATCTGATTCTGTAGCCTTGAGCTCCATGGAAGTTTTACAACCCTTGAAGGCAGAATTTGACATCAAACCAATTTTCTGGGTGGGTAGAAACTTATGGCCCTAATACAGCTATGACAGGAGCAGGTGGGAGTAGTGGTGTTTGCCAGGCTGTCGTCACGAATACTTGAGGCCGCATATAATCCTGCACTGCCATATTTCTGTATGAGCATGAATCAATACCTTGACATGAACATTCACAAAGGGTTTTATTTAGCCCTTCAGCGTCTGCTAGATATGCTCGCTTCTTTGTGCAGGTGAATTAATAGCCGTGGGTGATCGCGCAGAGCGCTCAGCAAAAATTATCGTGCAATCAATGCACGTGACAAGCTAGATGGAGCAAATTATTCTGCTGCAATAACAGCACTGTGAGCCCGGGCTTTATCTGATGGGCTTTTCTCTAATGCCAAGTCCCTGTCGCGCAGGCTGGTTCCCATACGCGAGTCGGGCTGGAAAAACTTTGACGTGACGCAGGCCGTGCATTACTGGCTGCGAAACAAGAGGCGGGAGCCAATGTTCCTGGAGGTCTGGATCGAAGGAGAAAGGGTAGGCAGCCATGCCTCAGAAATGGCCAAAGCCGTGAGTTTCACCTCTCAGGACCCCAAGGATAAAGCCCTAGGCAAACCTGAACTGGTGCTTTACACCCTCAACTTGGAAGACTATGGGTACGTATGAAACCTAAATCTGTGCTGTCTGCAGTGTAACTTTGCCCCTGAATTATTGTATTGTGTGTGCCAACCCAGGGCATGCAGCTCTTGCCCTCACAAGTAAACCACTGTGAACGGAGGAGTTGTTAGAAAGTTGCTGCTGAATCACACCTCTCCTCTTCCCATATTTGTTGCCTGAATATTCAAACGAAACCCGAGCGTGGTCCAAGTTCCACGTCTCAGGGCCCGCCTGTGCTATCAACAGGGGGGATTACGTCTCCCACCTTCCCAGTTCCCAGTTACGGCATCAGTTCTTGTTTCTCCCTTGGTGCGCAGGGGCCCCGGGGACTGCAAGGAAGAGGTGGTGATGGGGAAGTCCACCTGCTGCCGACAGAAGTGCGCAGGGGCCCCGGGGACTGCAAGGAAGAGGTGGTGATGGGGAAGTCCACCTGCTGCCCAGAAACACTACGTCAACTTCCGCGAGCTTGCCTGGACACAGTACTGGATCATCGAGCCGGCAGGGTACCAGGCTTACCGGTGCTCAGGGGGCTGCCTGCAGCCCCCCAGCCTGCTGCAGCATTTCGGCTATGGGGAGCGCACCTGCGCCGTGGCAGAGAGCTCCCCGCTCCCCATGATGTACCTCGTCAAGAGGGGCAACCGCACTGAAATTGAAGCAGCCGAGTTTCCCAACATGATTGTGGAGAAGTGCAGCTGCATTACGGGTGGCATGGCACTGGTGTGAGACGCGGGTGGCCATCCGGGGACCTGCGGCTCTCACGGGGAGAGTGGGATGTCACCCAGTCCCCCGATTCCCTGCAGCCCTGACCAGAGCCGCCCCAGTCCCAGGCCTCAGGGACAGTGATAAAGGTCTGGGGGGACCCCCAGATACCCACCTGCAAGGGTCGGCAGCCACTGGGGCTGCGGCTCTCCCACGCACCCCTGCAGAGAGGGTGCACTTCAAGGCATTGTCCCTGTGGGTGGGCTCAGAGGAGCATCTGTCTTCACACATATCTATGTGAGGGGTACCTATGGACCCTAACACTTCTCGAGGCCCCCTTGATGCTAGCCAGATTTCACTGAATTTCATGGAGCTGCGTCCAATTTATTTTAGTCCCCACCCCGGGAATATTGCAACCAGCTACAGGCAAAGGAGGAGTGGAGTGACCATCGCCAGGTGAAGAAGTAGTCCCTGGCTTCAGCTTTTCAGTCTCACACTCAGGACGTTTCATAAATTTTGGTTCTTCTCTGTCCAAGTCATGTTTACGGTGAATTGTAAAGCAGAAGCACTTACATGTATATATTGTATACACACACACACATACACTGTGTACATATATATAGTATATGACTATATGTATGTATTGTCTACATACATACGGATATATACATATTGTCTACATACATCATATATGTACATAAAATATTGTCTAGAGCTCAAAGAATATATATGTGCGTAGGTATCGTATGCATATATACATATATGTACATATATATACATGTACATAACAGATTACCTGGAATTCAAAGGATTATATTTTTGGCCCCTTATTTTTAAGCACCATGGGCTTAGCACAGTTGTAGGCAGAATTTAGAGTCCTGAAGTCAATGGGAATATTAGGACTTAGGTTTGCTCGCATGAGTAGCAGTTTGTAGAATCAGACCCTTATTTTTCTGGTTGGTTATTACAGTTATTTCAATTTAGGGGTATTTTCCAAGTTTTGTGTGCTTTCAAACTCAAGGAAACAATAAAATACAATTAAAGTAGCCATGTGTTTGCTTATATTTATTCTTAGGTCTAAAAGTAGAGGGGAAAGATCTGTCATATATCCGAACGTACCCCAGTGCCCAGCTCCTGTAAACATACGCACAGTAACAGCTCTTCTCGGTTACCTGTGTGATCCTGCCTGCTTCTGGTAAAGCTTTTCTACTCGGGCAGGGACTGGGACTGGGCTGAATCAGCAGCTGGAGCAGAGCCCACAGCGCCAGCGCTTCTCCCGGAGCTGCTGCGGAGTTTAAGCCAAGTCTTAAAGAGAAAACCTAGGAAGGTATCTGACAGGCAAGAGGTGATGCTCTCCGTGTGAGCTGCAGCAGCGCGGTGCCAGAACCTGCAGGCAATGAGCTGGAGCTGTAGTGCAGACAGAGCTGAGCTGCCTCCCACCCTCTCCCTTCCCAGGTGAAGCGTTTTAACCCGACACATCCCCTGGAGAAATGCAACGATAACGTGGTTTAATCCCTTTTTAAACTGTACCGAACTCTTGACCAGGGTGTCACCAATGATAATGGTTTCCACACTTCGTGTCAGACTCCTCTCCTCGATTCATAACCTACTGAGATACTGGTGGCTCTGGGGATGAAGTGGTCACTGCTGTCCATCTCTGTGGGACGGGGTCCCCGAGGCCCTGGCGGAACCTGCTGCTGGTGGAAGGACTCCGAAATCAGTTTGTCTGGCTAGACAGGGTGGCCATGGGCCACGGACCAGGTGAAAAGAAGGACCCGTTGGACTATGCGGTGGCTTTGGGTCATTCATCAGAAAGGTTGAGATGTCAAGTGTCCCTGCTGCCCTGCAGGACCCCAGGTCTGAGGTCACCCAGGCATCCCTGCCGTCACCGTGGCCCATGGGTAGGCTGGCACCTTTCACTTGTGTAAACACCCTTGGCAAAATAAGAGCTTTAAGGGGAGGAAAAAAAGCAGAAGCACAGACTTACCAGTCACCAGCGCTGGGCTACAGCACTATGGGTTGCTGGAATTAGAATTGGATGAGCCGGATGGATCTCTGGCCATTCCCTTCTCATGACTATGTAGCATCTATCCGAATGGCATTGGCATTCAGCCCCAGTTCCTCTCCACCCAGCTTGGGGCAGGGCATAGCCCCAAGGCCATGAGCTCAGCTATCACCATGAAGAACAAAGCCGACAATTTATCCACACCCTCTCCTGGGGAAGAAAGTGTTTGAACTGATTCCTGCTTGAGAATGAACTTGGACTCCAGACATCATCCCCCAGGCCTGGGAGAAATCCCATCCTGTGCAGTCGGGGCCATGCTGCTGCGGGAAGCGGGGGGCAGAGCATCCCAGCAGGGATGCGGGGCCGGGACCAGCAAGGCGGATGAGGACTGACCCCTCTTCTGCTCCCCTCCACCAGGATCCTGCACCCTGTCCCGTTCCCCTTGCTTTGCATCTGGCTCCCTTTGCTCTGGTTTCCTGTGGACACAAGGTAGGTAGCAGCGAGCGGTGGGTCTGTGCGGATGTGTGACAGCTGGGGGAGAAGGGGAGGGGGGGGAGGCGGTGGCCGAGGAGACCCCGTGTTACTGTGGGGAGAACTGCGGGTATTGCAGCGCAGGGACAGGGCACAAATCTGTTGGCCATCAAGCTCTGCCAGCTCTGCTGCCAGCGTGGATACTTATTTATTGCTGGGGGAGCCGCACAGATGTCACGGCATCCCCCTCCTTGCTCCCACCACCCCTCTGCGTTCACAGCCCTCCAGCCCAGCGCCTGGTGCGGTCCAGGGCCATGAGGCCAGTGGTAAGCACGGACTGGAGGTCTGGGGAAGAGGTGATTTATAGAAACATATAGCATAGATAGCCCGGGTGGTTATACGCCAGGCTGGGCATCACCAACGCCCATGTCTGGCATCTCGCGTCCCCATCTCTGTGCCCGGGGACTCCTGGTAGTGCCCAGACCCTCCCTTCCCTCCCTCTGTGCACAGCATCACCGTCACCTGTTAAAGTGGCTGAAAAATTAAGCTTCTTAATTAAAGATTAAGCAGTTGTGCTATTGCCTCAGTATGATGGATGCTGTGGCTAGTTTTTAACCCACATTTGGATTGAAACTCCCTGCTTTTGGGGAGACAGGACATTGTTCCTCAAACTCCAGCTGGCTTTGCAGTGAAAGTGCAGCAGACTCAGATGTTGGGCTGATGTGGGGAAGGCTCCAGAGATTTCTGCAGCGCAAACTCCTAGGCAGAAGGCTGTGAATGAAATACTACCACACCTGGGGCTTTTTCAGACATCAGCCCGTGCTGTGGGAAATTATCTCCTGGCCTGTCATCCTCAATCCAGACTGCATTTGCTGTGATACTGTCTGTGTGCTGCCTCGCTGCTTTTATATCGGTACAACCTGTAACGCACACAAAGGCTGTCAAGCTGTCATGTTATCCTTTCCGTCTGAGCGACACCACGGTCTCTGAAGAAAGGCAGAACATCTTATGTACCTGGCAGCAGTGTGGTTCAGCATTAACATTTATGCTGCGCTGTAAAAAAAAAGAAAAAGGAAGAGCAGTGCAGCGGCGGAATGAACCACATATAAGCAGAAACAATTTAAGATAATGTAAAGGTGTTTTAAGTCAGAAGCAGCATTAAAATGTCGGGCATCGTCCTGTACTACTGAAAGCGTGGTGCTCAAGGAGAAGTAAGCTTGTGCCGTTCACATTAAGGGCTTCAACAGCCTTGTTAGTCCCACGCTTAAGGTTAAGCTGTTGTATAAGGGTTCGCAGTGGCAGCGTGTCTGGGTTAAAGCTTAACGCGAGCGTGCCTTCACGGCACTGCTCACAAAGCGACCTGTGACGTCCTGCAATATTTAATGGGTCCAGACACAGGGAGATCTATTGGTCTCATGAAAGCTTTTCTAATGAGACAGGCTTGGGCAGGACAGCAGCACTTTCTCTCTCTGTTATCGTTACGTTTTCAGAGAGCGAACAAAAGTTTCAAGCCACGTTAAATGCCACCACTATCTGAGTTACATTGCCCTGTCTGATCCTTCCACAGTTTCATTTGAACCAAGGCTGAGCTCCCATTTTCTTTCAAAATCTATGAGAAGTTGCAGCTTTACCCTGCTGGTGAGACCTTATTTCCTCTCCTTCTCTTTTTTTTTCCCCCACTTTGCATTTCACAAACTCCTACCAAGAGCGTCTGACACTTTGCCTTTCAGGCCAGCTTTCTAATTTGGAAAGTCAGATGCCCAATCCACATCCCGGCAAAGGTGATAATCGGGGGGAGCTCCTCGGCTTTGGCTGGGAACAGCTGGAGTCTGGGAAAGGGGAATCTGGGGCAAACAGAAGGGGGCAAGCGGAGATCCCGCAGGACTTTGATATTTTTAGAGGATCCTCTTAACAGTCTCAGCATCTCCTAGTTTTTGCCATTAATTTAATGTGAAATTAGCTCCTGTGCAAAGCGCTGGATTTGCAGCCGGGACCCGAACTCCTCTGTGCATTCACGGAGCAGGTGGAGGAGAGCAGCACCCATAACGTCAGCGCATTTCAGAATAAAACAGAATAAAAACCTAATCACAACTGCTGCCTTCCGCCGCAGGGGTACAAGGGCACTCCAGAGCTGCGTGGGTGCTGGGATTCCCCACAGCTAAACCAGCAGGTACAGACCGGCCGAGAAAGTTCCTAACCGTGGCAGGAAATAGTTATCTGGAGATACTGGGCATGTCATCAGGCCACAGCTCTCAGTACCCTTTTGACAATTGCTGAATCAGGGATTTTTATTATTTTTTTCCCAAAGCTATGTAGTAATTTTGTTTTAAAGGTATTCCTAATGTTTATTTGCATTTTTCTGTCTACATTTTTTCCTCCTCCTAACTTTCTTAGTGATTATGAGCGTTCCCTTTTGAAAGTCCAAGTAGCTGCATTCCCTTGAAAAGCGTGTTTTTCTGTTTGCTGAAAATGAACGCAGTCGGGTTGCAACTGCTACTTCTAAGGTGACTGCCAGCTTGCAGCCCAGTGGTCAGTGACGCTCTGTCAC